CCAGGTCTTTCGGTTGTTGGACATCCCCAAAGGCGTCACGAGCACGAGCTTGACCTTCGGCGACCTCCTTAGCCGCCATATACTCATCCTGGAGAAGGAAGGCGAGCTCAAGCAACTCCAATCGCGCGCGCTGGGGGAGATGCAGCTGCGGGAGGCCCTGCAGGACCTCCAGACCTGGGCCCTGGAGGCCACCTTCACGCTAATCGTCCCCACCAATTTATCCGCCAACGTCAAGCTCATCACGGGCTGGAAGGAGGTCATGACGGCGGTGAGCGATAACCAGGCCCTGGTGAATTCCCTCAAGGACACCCCCTACTTTTCCTACTTCGCCGACACCGTGAATTCGTGGGAGGTGAAGCTCTCCACCCTGTTGGACACCCTCGCCTACCTGAACAAAATTCAGCGCAAGTGGGTCTACTTGGAGCCCATCTTCGCCCGCGGCGCCCTCCCGCACGAGCAGCCGCGGTTTAAGCGGCTGAACAAGGAGTTCGTCGGGATCCTCCGCGACGTCGAGGAGGACCCCCGCGTGATCAGCCTCACCACGCAGACCGACCTCAACGACCGGCTGAAAGTCATCCTTGAGCAGGTCGAGCGCTGCCAGAAGTCCCTGATGGAGTATCTCGAAACCAAACGCGATACGATCCCGCGCTTTTACTTTATCAGCGATGAGGACCTGCTGGAGATTCTCGGGGACAGCCGCAACCCCTTGGTGATTCAATTCCACCTCAAGAAGCTCTTTATGGGGATCCATCTCGTCGAGTTCAACGCCGATCGAAGCGCCATGACGCGCCTGCTTTCCGCCGATTCGGAAGAGGTCGAATTGCTCACCCCGGTCTCGCTCTCGGACGGGACGAACGCGGAGGATTGGATCATCGGGCTGGACGCGAGGATGCGGCAAACCCTCCACGCCCTGCTCGTTCGCTGCGTGGCGGAGGTGGAGGCGTCGGCCGGCCTCGCGATCCTCCCGCGGTATCCCTCCCAGATCTTGCAGGTCGCGCAGCAAATTCACTTTTCCCGCCTTGTCGAGAAGGCGATCGAGTCGAATGGCCTCAAACCCCTCCACGCGCGCCGGCAAAGCGAGCTGGAGCAGCTGATCGCCCTGTCGGTCAAGGCGGAGAG